AAATACTGGAGGAAGGACTACTGCCACTTTATTCCTCGGGTTTCGTGGACAAGAACACAACGTTGTTCCAGGAAGATGGAGCAATGTGTCATACTGCTAGAAACACCCAAAAATGGCAGGAAGAAAATGGTATCCAGAAGTTGCCCTGGCCGAGCCAATCTCCTGACACGAACTCCATCGAAAACCTTTGGGCCATACTCGACCGGCAAGTCAAGAAACAACCAAAAAAAAAAAAAAAACAAAACAACTTCAAAGAGCGATTTACTCCAAGTTTTGAAGCAAGAGTGGGCGAAAACCCCACAATCTAAAATTGAGGAGATGATTCTCACGATGCCCCAAAGGATCAACGAACTCCACGAAGCGAAAAGAAGATCTACTAGATATTAATTAAATTATAAATATATCAATTCATGTAAGTATGACTGAAAATTTTAATTTTTTCTGAAAAGGTGGTGTCTATTTACTTGTGACCACGCTGTGTACATGCCAATAGTTTCAGCCTAATTACTTAATAATTAGGAATAATTTAATTACCAATTGTATGACTATAGAGTGAACATTAAACTTTTTAAATAAAAATTAGACTTGTGATAATTTGTTTAAAAGTTATTAAACTTTTTAACTAGGAAATTTTGACAAGGTCATTTTTAGCTGCATGATGAGTTTTATATAACTAACTGCTGGATGTTTTTTTTTATAAATGAGCTTTTGATTCTGGCATTTAACTCTTTGTAAATATAAATAATTATCTTAATTTTTTTCGTGAATAACAATATGTTCTAGGGTTCTAGTCATGAATAATTGTACTTTTCGATTAATTTATTTTACCAATATTTTGGTACGTATGCAATTATCAGTGTTAAAGCCAATAAAGAAGTTACTGAATAATTTGTATAAATCATTAAAATTAAATTCTTTCATTAAGCTTTACCCTCACTAAGGAACAATCCCAGTTAATATTTTAGAGAATAACAAACAAATGGAGCTAGAGTATAAATGAAATGATAGAGACATTTTTAAAACCTCTTGAAATAAAAGAAAAATAAGTTCGCTGAAAATAATTACTTTTTCTTTACAACAACTTTAATAATTTCTTTATACTAAACTTTTATTGAACACCAGTATTACAGTTTAATTCATCTTGAAATTATCATAACTTTAGAAGTTTTTTCAGCAATTCCATGGTATTGTGTTGAAGTAAGTTGCTCTCAGAAAATCTTAAAGAAGGATGACTTGAAAAGAATGCTGATATCCTAAAAGAAATGGAAAAATTGAACCTAATTTGACAAAAGGCCAATTAAATATATATTAAGGGAAGATAAGTTATATAGCAAAAAACATTTCAGTATTATTTTATACTTTTTGCTCATGTGTATACTTTAATTTGAAGATTATAGAACTTTTTTGAAGTACATCTTCATTCTAAATCTGAAAATGAAAAGAATAAACCTACTGTCAAGCCACTTAGAATCATATTTGATGGTCCTTTTGTAACGATGAACTTTTTTGCCCGTAGATAAATCATAAAGATCAGTCCGGAAAATGACTGTATCAGCTCTACTAAACTCAGCCACAGTGCCACTGTACAGTCCAGGCAATCCCCCTGGATTTCCTTGTTCTGCACAAAGATATGCACAGAGGTTTTACATCTTCTAAAATGCTAATAATATTTTACCAAACACAAAACTATATTTAATTTATTTTTATAAGATCATTGAAAACAGTGTTGATAACCTAAAGAAAATGAGTTCATACACACACACACACACACATATATATACTGTATGTGTATGGGAAATTGCTAAGTACTGTGTAAGTACAATTAAAGTTTAATGTTTCTAATTTAAACCAGTTTTCAAATATCTTTGATGGAATGCACAGATGATAGACTCAAACGTTGATCACATGACAGTTCTCTATTAAAGTTTGAATGAAAAGCATAAATGCAAGTCACAAATACACTGCATGTATTAAACTTAAAGTGAAATTATACTGATTCTGTTATCTTGTTTTGAAATAAACTATAATAAAAAATATATTTGATATTGGAAATAAGTAATGTTTTATTAATCCATACTTTGGAAAAGTTAATACACAAATTAATATTTTGTGGAATCCTTCTAGATCTAGGAAGCAGAGAAACTTTTTGGATCTTCTCGAGTACTTGTTTCACTGTTCAACACTGAAGAAAATGCATCTAGCAATATTTATATCAAGCAATAGCAACTGTGACAGATGGAAACTTTGCAAACTTTACAAATATAAAAAGATTAAAAAAATTAAAATAAAACCTTAAGACTAGAAAAAGCTAACCTTTGGCGTCCTTTCCTACAGTAATTGCTATTTACAGAATACAAAAGAAAGAACAGAGTTTACTTACCAACCCAAACAGCTGTAGCATTATCATCAGGGTCAAAGGGACATTTAGCAATTCCATTTCCTATCCCTGGAAGGGACTGGTAATTTCCTAAGTGGGAAAGATTTGTCTGAAAAGAAAATATAAAATGTATTTACTAGGTTTCATTAATTACTTATTTTTAAAGAGTGTAAGATATCTTTTTCTGTCATTCTGATTATCTACATATTTATAAACAGTGTAAGATATTGTTACGCCTCTGGTGGTTCGTTTGTTAATTTTCCGTTAAAATTCTTTCCGAAGAAACTTTAGCAATACAAGTCCTTCTTTAAATAAAACTAGTTTATTCTTTCTCAATACAACTTTACAATACACTTAATTTCCACAGTCACTTTAACTTAAACAAACGCTATAATTCACAACGAACGATTCACGCGCTTGATTCAATTGTCCATCTCTATCTCTGTCTGCAATTCAATTCCAATTAATTAGTCTCATGTTAACCAGTGCACTGATATACAGGAATAGAGGGTGTCTAGCACATACTGGATTATTCGTGATGTTCCCCGATCCTTCGAGAATATCATGACGTGTTACCAGGGTCACGTGACTACCGCTGTCGTAACACTGCCCCTTCCTTAGTATTGTTCGGGACAAACAATAACCACTTACATTAAACTAATAAACAATTAACAATAACTTAATTAAATGTACAGAATTTAAAAACACAAAATTAAAATTCAACAAAGTCTCTTAATTTTACGGGACGAATCTGGTCACCATCTCGTTGGCTTCTGCTTCATGTGGGGTTCATCTGCTTCATCAGGAAATGTCCTATCATTGGTAACATCAGTGGTAGTAACTTCATCAAGGGCTCCGCTGTTTCCCCTCTCAAAATCGAGTAAAGTTTCTTCTTTGACAGTGGCTTTTTCAGGTGACACGTCTTCAGCAGCGTCATTTATTTCCGTTGTTCACTTCATCCCAACTGAAATGTCCTGGACTGTG